CTCTCTCTCTCTCTCTCTCTCTCTCTCTCTCTCTCTCTCTATATATATATATATATATATTCTTATATATATTGTAAGATTTAAGATGTGTGTTCTTGGCCCTCGTTCTCAGCGTACCGTCTTTGTTCACAGCACAGATGCGACCGTATCTGTTCTGGCTCAAGCTTCTGAGGGCATGCTCCCGGTGGGTCTCCTGGGGCTTGTTCGCGATTTCCTCCCAGCGGCCCTCCACTTCCGCACGTCGTGGCTGGCCTCGACCTGCCCTGCGTGCCCATCGGTCCCCTGCCCATCAGTGACATTGCCGAGATGCCCAGGCCTGCAGTGCGGCGACTGCAATTGCCCCGAGGGGCAGGCCACCTCGCTGCTCTGGGCGAGCGCCGCGGTGGCCCTGTGCTCGGCGGGGGCTGGGCTTGCCGCGGGCTGCGCGGGCGCCAGCCTGCTGGGGCGTGCGCGCCAGGCCGCGGGGGCGGCTTGGGGGTGCCCGAGCGGCGCCAGCGGCGGCGGCGGAGAGTCGGCTTCCTCGGCCCGCGGGGCAGGAGGCCGCACCGCCAGGGCCGCTGCGCTCCCTGCGCCTGGCGCGCCCGCGGGGCCATCCGTGACGGCCGTGGCGAACACGCCCAGTTCACTAGCCCGGCGGCGAGATGGCTGCTAGAACTCTCGACATCCGAGAGGCCCAGGTGCAGGTGCATTACCCCGACGAGGATCTGGAGTGGCACCACCGTGTGTTGCTGCATCGGGTCGAGGGCGCCCTGTGGCTGGGCCCCACCCCCGACCACGAGATTGTGAGGGTTGACCTCAGCGTCCTGCGACATCACGCGTTGGATCGGTCCTCGGCTTTCCCCGCCCAGTTCGCGCCGATGGTGCACGCCTTCGACCCAGTCGACGGGCAAACGCTGCGAGACGCCAAGCGACAGGCCCAGCGACGGGCTGCGCTTCTGGGCGGGGGAGAGGTCGAGGACGCCGAGGAGTACGCGCGGTCGTTGGCGAGTGTCGCGGATGCTCGCTGTGGTGAAGCTGTACCTGCCGATGTCGTCGAGGATGGCGACAGGTGCGTCACGCTCGGCCATCGTGGAGTGCGCATGATCGACGGGGAGCCGCGTTTCGTGGAGCGGGTCTCTCGAGATGAGCGGGACAGTTGGGTGCAGTCATGCAGAGAGGACGTCGAGGACATCCGCGTGCTGGGGGATCACCGCTCACGAGTGGGCCGTCGGGATCTAGACCTCAGGGATGCCGTCGAGTCCATGAGAGAGGTGACCGTCGAGGACTGGCCCGATCAGGGGCCGCGAGCGTGCCTTGAGTACCTGAAGAGCATCGCGCTGGGGGCTGGCAACCTGCTCACCTACCAGGCTGAGTGGCAGCGGCTCAGCGGAGTGGCAGAGGGCGGAGCTCAGGGACACGAGCATCGCTGCCACCTCGAGACGCTGCGGAGGGCGATCTGCCACGACCAGCTGAATGTGGTCAACTTGACGTGCTTCGAGCATGTCGTGCGGCGGGTCATCCAGGTCGAGATGGCCGTGGAGAAGAACCCGCGGCACCCCGACTTCAGCGGGCTGGGGGACGTGCTGGCCGGACCGCGGTCGGCGAGCGGCTCAGCCCATGTGCCGCGGCACCTCGAACACGTGACCAACCGCCAGAAGGACCGCGCCCAGATCCTCAAGCAGCAGAGGCTCTACCAGGAGGAAGCGGCGGAGCGCGAAGGGCGACGGCAAGGGCGAGTCGGGCGACGGCTCGAGGGCCAAGCAGAAGGCGACGGCGAAAAGAGGGCCCCCCTCGGCGGGCGCCGAGGGGGAAGGGGGGCGACTCCCCACCGAGGCGGCGCCTGCGCAGCGGGCTTGGCCGAGCCCGCGTCTGGCACGCACCGCCGTCCAGGAGTCAGCGAGCTGCCAAAGAAGCATTGGTGGCCGGACGGCCACTGGCTCCACAATGATCCATTCCCGCTCCCCATACAGTACGAGGAGGAGCGGCCGACGGGAGCGGCCAGGTCCACGGCGCGTAGATGGCACCACAGGGCCAAGAAGCAAGAGCGGGTTAGAGAGACGGTTGAGGCCCTCGACCACCTCGCTGCTTCCAAGACGAATTCGATTGATGGCAAGGTTCATCGCGTGCGTCCACGGGGGGGGCCGCCGACTGCGGTCCAAAGGAGTGCGCTAGCCCACGTGGTTGCGGGGGTCAACGGCTATGGCGAGCCTCCTCGTGAAGCGACGGATGGTGAGTGGTCCCTCCGGGCGATCCTCAAGTCCGCCGACCAGTATGAGCTGGAGCCGCGGCACCTGGCGAGCTACGACCCCGACAAGCTGCACATCGCGTCCGGCGCGTTGCGGCCTGTCCCCGTGTCGGCCTTGCTCCCAGAGGCTGCGGCTGGGTATTTGAGACACTTCGAGAGCCAGGTGGGGCTGACCGCGCCGGAGCTGGAGTCCCGGCTACAGACCGCGGGAGGGCTCCCGACACCTTACTGGGACCCCGCCCTCCGCGGAGATCGGTCAGCTCGCCGCGATTTTGTCCGCCGGCTGGCGGCGGCAGGTGCTGTGGGATTCCGCAGGGCGATCAAGAGCCGCTGTGGAGCTTTTTTCGTGCACAAGAAAGACGGTCGCATTCGGTTTATTTGTGATGCTCGACAGGCGAACCTCTGCCACCGACGGCCCCCACGGACCGTGCTGGGTGGGCCCGCCTCCCTGAGCGAGCTGGACCTCAGCCCCCTCGCCGAGGCCCTCGGCGGCTACGGCGGGGCGCTGGAGCTGCCCCATCGACCTCCACGCGTCGAGCGCGGGTGTGAAGGACTGCTTCTACCAGCTTGAGGTGGGGCATCGCGAGCTGGTTCGGGTTCGACTGCCCGCTGACCGTGGAGGAGCGGGGCCTCGACATCACCCACGTCTACGACGACGACCTCAAGGGGCCCACCCCAGTGCGGACGGGTGAGTTGCTCTATCCCGTGATGCGGGCGCTGCCCATGGGGTGGTCGTGGGCCCTCCACTTTGCGCAGGAGGCTGTCACCACTCTGGCCGAGCGTGGATGTCCAGGGGGCAGCGAGCAGCTGCTCCAGGACAAGCGCCCCGCCCCCCTCCTTCGACCCGGACGTCCCGTCAGCGCCGTGCACGTGGACAACTTCACGGGCCTGGGCGGCTGCCAGGAGGACGCCGCATTCGGGGTGAGGGGCTTCGAAAAGGCTGCCGCGGACGCGGGGCTAAAGCTCCACGTGCCCGAGGTCGCGTTCGCCGAGCTCGAGTCGCTGGGGCTCGGGATCCCCGTGTCCGACAAGACGCTTAGGCACACGCCGCATCGAGTATGGCGATTTCACTTCGGGACCAAGGAGCTCCTCCGGCGCGGGCGCTGCTCGCCTGCCGAGCTGCGGGCTTGGGCGGGGCACGCGGTCCACCTCTTCTCGCTACAGCCGCTGCTGCTGTCGATCCTGCAGGACACGTACACCTTCATCGGGAACGGGCTCGGTGCACGGCGACCTCTGCCTCGCGGAGTTCGGCTCGAGCTGCGCCTGGCCGCCGCGCTGGTCTTCTTGGGGGGTGTCAACCTCGCGGCCCCCGACGACGATGAGGTGCACGTCTCCGACTCGTCGACGGGCGGCCACTGCCTGATGTACGGGCGCAAGCCCGCTCGGGCGGTCCGAGACGCCTGGCGTTGGCGGGAGCGGTGGCGTTTCGTGGAGGTGGAGGCTGAGTGCGACGACGCCCACTACACCAGCGCCTACCTAGCGCAGCTACGGGGCCTCCCAGCGGATGACGAGCTGGAGATCCCCAAGTTCGCTGACGTGCAGCTGCGTGCCGGACGGTCGGCGGGCGCTTGGTCCTCGACCGAGCTGGGTCAGCTAGCCTTTCGCAAGGTTGGCCGGACTCGGCGTCGGCAAGGCTGCAGCGCTGTGGGCGGTCGGCACCGCCAGGAGGTGGAGCTCCTGAATGTGGCCCCGAAGCTGCCCGTGGCGCTGACGCGCGACGAGGGCTGGCGACGAGCAGTGGCCGGGCGGTGGCAGCACCCCGAGGAGCACATCAATATCAAGGAGGCGAGGGCGTGCGTCATGGGGTTGCGCAGGAGCTGTCGGGGCCCTCGGCACCACGGCCATCGGGTCCTGTCGCTGCGCGACAACATGGTGACGTGCTGCTGCCTCGACAAGGGGCGGTCGACCTCCAGGGCGCTGAACACACAGCGCCGACGGGCCGCCGGCTACGCGCTGGGTTGTGGGATACGATGGCGCGCCCGCCACGTCCCAACCGACCTCTGCGTGGCTGACTTCGGCTCGAGGCTGCACGAACCACCTGAGCCTCAGTGGCTGTGCGCGGCGAAGGCCCGCCGAGAGGTGGTGGCGCCCTGGGAGCCTGCCCGTCCTTCTCCAGCTCCCTCGACCCCCTCGAGTACGACCTCAGAGCCCGCAGAGCACAAGCACGAGACCTCCCGCATCCCCTCCTCCGCGTCTTCCAGACGACCTAGTCCAGCTGGCCTCCGCGCGCTGCGGGCCGAGACAGCTCTCGAGCGCAGCGTTGGGGACCGCTCAGCGTCGGCCGAGGCCGGACATGCTCGCGAGCCAGAGTCGGCAAAAGTCTTCCTGGAGCTTCTCGGGCACTGGAGGCTTCAGTCGGGCGCTTGTATCTGCAGGCCTACGTGTGGGCTTCTCGTTCGACATCCGTAAGGGCGCTCAGTATGATCTATCTCGTCGGGCTACTCAGTTATTGGTTCTGAAGTGGTTGCGATCTGGAAGAGTCTGGGGAGTTCACTTGGGTACACCTTGTAGTTCCTGGAGTATAGCCAGAAAGGGCGTGAAAGACTTCAGGCGTGCTCGAGCCACGGAACGGTTGGGGGTGGAGCTTGCGTTGTTCACGAGCGAGGTGGTCCGTATTTGTCAGAGGTGCAACGTCCTGTGGTCCATCGAGAATCCTGCGTCGTCGGGGTTGTGGAGCTTCCCTCCGGTCGGGGGCCTGGCTGGGCTGGCCGGGGCTCGCTGGGTGAAGTTCCCGATGTGCGCCTACGGGGTCCCGCGCCAGAAGTGGACGGCGCTGCTGACCAACTCGCCCACGCTGGCATCGCTGGCGGCGGAGTGCACACACACACACAAACACACACACACACACACACACACACACACACACACACACACACACACACACACACACACACACACACACACACACACCTCCCATCCTCACCTCTCGGGGCGAGTCAAGGTTGCAGATGATCGGGGAAAAATCAGATGGGCTCGCCTTACGGAGCTGGCGGGCGCATATCCGTCGGCTCTCTGCTCGAGCTGGGCTGCGTGCCTGGCCAAGGCGGCCCCCACCACGGCCTTCGGTGCCTCTCCGCCGTTTGTGGAGGCATGGGCCGGCGAGCTGGAGGCCCTGGTGCCGCGGCGGCTTCGCGGCGCCGCTGAGGGCGATGCTCGGCCGGCTGACACGACAGCGGGCGGCGACGCGAGCTGTGCCCGGGCCGACCGCTACCTCGCGGAGCGCGGTGTCCTCTTCGGGAACACCAGCGCGGTCGAGCGGGCGGCCCTCCGTGCTCGCGGAGACGCTCTCGACCCGCCGAGCTGGTAGCAGCCGGGCGCCGGCCGCCCGACGACGGCACACGCCTGTCGCTAAGGCCGCCGCCCGGGCCCGCCACGCGGCCGCCGCCGGCCGCTCGCGGGCAGACTACCTCAAGCTGAAGGGCGTGTCGGAGGCGACCCTCGCACTGTACAGGAAAGGAGTTGATGAGTTTGAATCTTGGTGCCGACTGAACGGGCGCCAGAACAACAACTTGGTCAATGTTGATGCCAACCTCGTTGGCTGGATGACAGAGCTGTACTTCGCTGGCACGGGGCCAGCAACTGGCCGCAACGGGCTCTTCGGGCACCTGCTGCTGCGCGGGGACAACCACGAGTCTGGGGTCGGCCGGGTGCGGCTCCCACGAGCCCGTCGGCAGCTCAAAGGCTGGTGCAAGAGCGACCCAGGGGCTGTTGGCATGCCCTACCCGCTCTCCGTGCGCTGGCAGCTCCTGGCCGACGGCGAGCCGAGGCTGGCGGCGCTCGCGGTGATCCAGACGGACTGCTACCTCCGGCCCTCGGAGGCGCTGGCGCTCAGGCCCGAGGACGCGCCGGTCGGCTGCGCCGACGCTGGGGCCGAGTACGCCGGCAAAGTCGTGCTCCACCTCGCCCCGGGCGACCGCGGACGGCCGACCAAGACAGGCATCTCCGACGACGCCGTAGAGGTCGGCGGCCCGATACACTGAGCCCAGCTGCTGCCTTTTTCCCTTCACCCTGTCTCAGTATGAAAAGAGTTTCGGCCGCGTCCTGACACGCCTCGGCTTCTCTTCTTTGGGCGGATCGCCCCACTGGCTGCGTCACTCTGGCCCTTCCAACGATCGTTTCAATAAGGCCCTGGACCTCCGTCCCATTCAGAAGAGAGGCCGCTGGGCGGCCTTCAGATCTGTCACCAGATACGAGAAGTCAGCTGACCTGCTCAAGCAATTGTCCAAGTTGAGCCGGGGTCAGCAGCAGAGCGCGAAGCGCGCGGCCTCCTCGTTACCTCAGGCCCTCGCGCACTCGCTCCGCCAGTTGCGGAAGCCAGCGTCTTGCAAATTTGCCCCAGCAGCCGCTGCTCCCAGACCCAAAAGGGGTTTCGGGGGCACGGGTGAGTGATCTCGCACCTTTGGCGCTCGAAGCGCCTCTTGAGTTCCAGAGTTTGCGAGGCGCGCGGATCGATCCAGCTGCATCCTTGACCTTTGAAGTCGGCGTCGCAGTGAGAGCCACTGTCGGCCGCGAGGCGGCCGCTCTTCTTGCATGAGAAAAAGAGAAGGCCCAGAGCTCTGGTTAAGCGGCTTCAGAGGGCACCAGAATTGTAATCTTTAAGATGTGTATTCTTGGCCCTCGTTCTCAGCGTACCGTCTTTGTTCACAGCACAGATGCGACCGTATCTGTTATGGCTCAAGCTTCTCCTACCTTCGTCCCCTCCACCTCCCTCATAATATTCTCTGGGTGAGTGATCTCGCACCGTTGGCGCTCGAAGCGCCTCTTGAGTTCCAGAGTTTGCGAGGCGCGCGGATCGATCCAGCTGCATCCTTGACCTTTGAAGTCGGCGTCGCAGAGAGAGTCACTGTCGGCCGCGAGGCGGCCGCTCTTCCTGCATGAGAAAAAGAGAAGGCCCAGAGCTCTGGTTAAGTGGCTTCAGAGGGCCCCAATATATATATATATTATATATATATATATATATAATATATATATATATATATAGATATATATGACTCCGCGGTAGCTCACCGGTAAACGGGGAAATCAACCAGAAGGATGAAAAAGCGCGTGTTCACATTGGAAATGGAGAAACATTGGGGAAAATTTGCGATTGTCAGTGTTCTTGTTTGGGCAACCCATAAACACTGACAGTGACCGGGTTTCCTCGGTGCTTCTTTTCCCTTTGGAAAACAACTGTTGTTCCCTGTGTTTCTCTTTTTCCTGATTGCCCGGTAAGCTTCCGCGGCCCCGCGGCGCCCCCACCTGGAACCCTTGCACGCAGAGACACGTCGGCATGGCCATCAACCAAATTCTTTTTTTACCATTCATACGCCCGAATATCAGTTTGCGAAACTCCAGGATTAAGCTTCGGCTGCAAATGCCCAGAATCCAAATCAACGCGCATTCTATGCGCAGAGCGATCTCGATTGCAGCGGGGCGCCAGAATCAGCGCCGCGAGGCCGCGGAAGCTCACCAGGAGAACCCCCCCAAAAAAGAGAAAGAGAGAGAGAGAGAGAGAGAGAGAGAGAACAAAAAAAAAAAAAAACTGTTGCTCACACGTGGAAAAACAGGCAATGCCGAGGAAGAGTTGCGACTGCCAGCGCGTTTATTGTCGCAACACAGACCAGCATCGACCGCCACGGGTCGCCCCCAGTTTTCCATTATTCCATGCGAAAGAAAACATAACATCGGTTCCTTGTGCTTCCTGTCTAGTTCTGTTTTCCCCGCGAACTTCCGCGGCCCCGCGGCGCCCCCACCGGGCCCCCCCAACATTAGACGGAAGTTGAAATCCCACAGTAAATCATGTGAAGAACCCAACCGCTAGTTCAAGCTGCAAAACCCCATGAGCAAAAGCAGCGCGCAATCCGTTCAAGTTGATATTGGCTGCAAGAAACTTCGAGAAGCAATGCCGCACAGCTGCGGAAGCTCACCTGGGCAACGGGGGAGGAGAAAAAGACATCGAAATGTTTTTATCTTCACATGGAAGAACAAGATAACCGAGGAAAACACGTGACCCTCAGTCTTCTTATTGGCACAACAGGTACAAGCACTGTCAGTCACAGGTTGCCTTAGTTGTTTTCGGCGTTCCCCGTGTGAAACTCATGCGTTAGTTTGTTGTTCTTGTTTGTTACACGTTTCTATCGCAATTTTCCACGGCCCCGAGGCGCCGCCACTAGGACCCCGTGCACTTATAAAATTGAAGAAAAATCGAATTCAAAATGTAGATGCACACAAATCTTCAAAATGCATTTGGAAATTCCCGCAAGCAAATTCCATATGATAATCTCCATACATGAAAATCAACGCGCGGTCAATTCATGAATGAGTTGCACATGCGGAGATTTACCGACGTAGCAGGAGGAGGCGATGAGATGGACACAGAAAGGCTAGGACAACGACGAGAAGGACATACACTACTTCACGAGTAATCACACACTTGACACACGAATGAAGCACAAACGAACGAATGCAAATATGGCGAGTAAACTGATGACCCATAGCGTTCGAATCAAGGGGAAATCCGCCAAATAATCCTTGTCGCAATCACGCAAGCAGCGGGTCGGACGGGCCCCCCCACCCAGGGCCCAAGACGCGGCTGCCAAGGGGACTTGCCCTCTCGGAGCACGAGGCGCGAGCGCCCCCTTGCCGGCACTTGCGCCACGGCGCACGCGGCTTGGGCTTTCTTTGGCGAACAACGCGCCGCGGCGCACGCGGCGCCAGCGCCCCCTTGCCCCGAGAAAAATCCACGGCGCACCTGGCGCTAGCGTCTCCTTTGTGTTTTATATGCATATATGCATGTGTATATATGTACACATATATAGATATTCACGCACACCCCCCACCCCCACCCCACCCCCGCCCCGCCCCCCTTAAAAAAAGGAAACACAAAATGGAAGACGCTGCCTTTCGGAGGTCCGCGCGGATTCCGCGGGTCGCCGCCGGAGCCACCCGGCGGCGCTTCTGGCGCCGCCCTTGGCGCGCCCCGCACGCCAGGGAGGGGGCCCCACCGCTTGTCCGAGAAATCCGCGCGGACTTCCAAGAGTCTCTGTTCCTGTCACTGTCTGCCCCTCAATAAAGATGCTCCAAGGCGCACGCGGCGTCAGCGCCCCCTCGCCAGCAACGCATCGCGGCACGCAACGAGGACCCTCGAAGCCTCGCGGGCCCCAGCGGGCTGCAGCAGGCAAAGTTTCACTGAGCTCGACTGGGCGGGTCTGCTTTGCAGCGACGTTGGAAGGGCTGGACTGCGCTGGGCGGTGCCCGTTGGGATTGGCACAGCTGGGCCGAGCTAGACTGAGCTCGAACGAGCTGGGCCGAACGAAAATGCGTTGAAATGAGACAGCAATAGGCCGGGCTGGGCTGAACGAGGTTGAGTTGGGCAGAGTTGGACCGATCTGAATTTGGCTTGGGTGCGCCTGGGCTGAGCAGGGCTGGGCGAGGCTGAGCCAGGTTCACTTAAGCTGGGCTGGATTGAGCCAGAAGCCAGACTGGGTTGGGCTCGGGCGAAATTTCGCAGCGAGATATCACGCGAGGTCACTTAGGGTTGGATCACGGGATTCTTTGAGTTCTCTTAATTGTTGAGTAATCTATTGGGCCGTACTAGTGGCCTCTGGTGGCCCTCTTGAGCCATGTAGCGGCATCTCGGCTCTTTAGTGGCCCGTCTTGAAGGGCCCCTGGCCCCGGGCATTGCCCAGCGTTCGGCCCCCGCGACCGCCCCGCGCGCCGGCCGCCCCAACTCGACGATCACCCTTTCGGCGCTGGGAGGGGTCGAATTTAGCAGACCGAAGCCCCTTTTGAGTGAGCACAAAGCATCAGCAGGGCGCTCCAGGAACACGGCCCCGCCTCTGGCGCGCCCTCGACCCCGGCAGGGGCCAGCGGAAGTAAGACGGGCGGCGGTCCGGCCGCCGCAAACCAGCGCAGGGCCGGCGGAAGTTTGGAAGTAAAAGTGCGTTGCTCCCACAGAGGTGGAGATGGGGGCCAGCCAGCCCCCCCCCTGCCCCCCCCCTCCCCCCTTTCACCTTGCCCCTGCTTCCCCCTTGCCCTCCGCCGCCCCCGGCAGTCCCCAGCCGCTCTGGCTCGGATTGATTCTTAGCGAATTTCAGAACGGCGCCGCGCGACCGAGCCTAGGCCTCGTCGCCCAGCCCACCGTTTGCAGGCGGCGCCTGCTCCTCTTCCAGCCTACAGCACGCGGGCGGCGCCTGCGCGCGTCAATGCCACGTCGCCCCCATGTTCTCCCATGGCGCAGCGCCGCGGTGGAGGCGGCAGCCGCGCGCGGGCCACCTGGCGCTGCCAGTCACGCGGGCGCAACAGGAACCAACCCCCACGGTTCTGGCGCAAGCATTGCGGGACGAAATGGCAGAAGCAAGGTGCCAGGCATAACGAAGGTGACGGTCTTCACCTTTTTGGCTCTGACCGCCCCCAGCACCCCACGCGCCCTGCTCTTCTTCACCGCTGGAGGAGCTCGTCCTCCGACGGGCGCGGCAGCCGCTGGTGGAGCCCAGGGCGGCGCTGCTTGTGCAGCCCCCCCCCCCCCCAAGGACCTCGACCTCCTCGCGGCCCTCGCAGGCCGCGCAGGAGATCTGGAGTCGCCCAACAATTACCAGGAACAGATCTCCAAGCATACTACACGTCCCGCGGCCCCCGCGCCGCTGGAGCAGCGCGCGGCGCAGTGCTAGCACGAGCGGCTTCGCCTGGCCAAGAAGATGCAACGCGAGCTCGACAAGTCGGACAACTGGGAGGTGGAGATGGACAGGCAGCGCCTGCACATTGCCTACTTCTCCGAGCAGCTCACGCGGCAGGGGGGATCCTACGCGGAGCTGGCGGACAAGCCGGCGTCTGCGGCGCGCCCCGACGCGCCCGCACCTGAGGCGCCCAAACTCAACATCGAGGACCTGGTCGCTGGCACGTTAAATTCGTTCCAGATCGACCTCGGCAAGATCCTCTCTTTCGCCGGCGGCGACGACGAGTGCGAAGCTTCCAAGTTGCAGGAGCTCGACCGTCGCCAGAAGCAGCTCGCTGAAGGCCTCTCCGAGCTCTCTACGCGTCTCTTCTCAGAGGCCTTGGAACACGCCAAAGCTATTCGTGACGAACATGCTCAAGACCGCGCTTGACTGGGCAAGAAACGCAAGAGGCAAGATGGAGCTGCCGCGGCCACTGCTGCTCCCGCCGACGGAGGCCCCGCAGCTGGCGGTGCTCAGCAAAGTGCAGGGGCGTCCGCGACTACTGGGTCTTCAGCGTCTGACTCGGCTACCGGGCTGCCGTCTGAGGCTGCCCCTCTCTCCTCACCAATGGCTAGGGTTTCAAAGCTTCAGCAGAAGGCTGCCCCCCCGCCCCCCCTCGCAGCAGCGCGAGGGGGAACTCTATAGTTGCATCTTTCCGCCACCCAGGGGGGCCCGACCCCCCCCCCTCACCAACCTATTGATTCGGAGGCTTTCAATCTAAACGGTAATGCGCGGTCGCCCATGAAAGACTGGCCCCCCACGCGCGATGCTCGCATCATCTTGGTTCGGGAGCACAGGGTCCTCGATGGAGACCCCGTCGACATGGCTTCCGCCTGGTGCCTGAATTATGGCTTCAAATATGTTTGAGCCCCTGCCTTCGCGGGCCATGGGGGAGGCGCGTCTAGTGGCGCGGCTATCCTTGCTAGAGCTAGAACTTGGCCAGGCATTTATCTCTCTTCAGACAGGAGAGCTTCGTGGCCCCACCGAGCTCTCGCAGCGGTCGTTCACTCTCCCGGGGTCAGTCCCTCTTCGCCCCCTCCATGTACCTACGCGAGATCGAAGGACTTTCAGATGCAAACCTCGAGATATGATTAGCCGTGGGTTCCTACATGGCGATCTCGGGCATGCCTTTCCACCTGGGCGGGGGCTTCAACATGGAGCCCAGCAGCCTCCTGCAGGCCGAGCCCCCCCGAAAGCTTCGAGGGCAAGTTGTGGCCACATCTTGTCCGACTTGCCATGGTAGTGGAGGCCCGCGGCTCCTCGACTATTTCGCGCTGTTTGGCGGCTTCTCTCAGGCCTTTAGCTCGGTTGCTCTCATCGGTGCGACCTTCTTTTCCCGCGCGCCTGCTCAGGTCTGCTTTCGCGCCGGCCTGGCCGAGCTGCACGTCCTCGCCTGTCGGAAACCTCCATCCGATCCCCGTCGACGCTCCGGTCAGCCCCTCCCCGCGCCCCCCATCGCACGATACTTGTTCGGCGCTTCTTGGGAAAGCGCTCCAGCGAGCATGCGCTGGCCAGTCCGACGCGCTTGATTCTCAAAACTGTTTACCGCCTACAAGTTTTAGGCCAACACTGTAGAGCAATAACTTTGCACGGCCATGGGTATACCTATCCCTTACTACGGAGCTACGGGCAAGGGGCCCGACGCGCGGCGGCGCCCCGCGTTGGGGCGCGACCGCGGGTCTGTCCGTTACCCTGAGCTCCACAGTGTGAGATGGTTATCTTTTGTTTTCAAGGCCTTCTCCTCGACCTATGACTACGTTGCTGAAGACTCACCTGATCTCGTCGTCGAGGTCAACAGAAGGGCTCGGCTCCTGTCATCGCCGCCCGATGTCATCCTGGAGACTGAGGTGAGGTGTTAGATGCGTTGCAGGCGGCAGCGGCAAGTGGCACACGTTGGCTCGGCGGAGGCTTAGCCGCCGATCGAGACCACGAAGGAGCCAGCGCTGCCGAGCAGTGCATCTCTCAGGCTCTGGCTAAGCGCAATGATAAGTACAGGCAGCTGGCCCACAAGGACTTGGCAGCGCGGTTAAATGACGGCATTAATCAGGGTGCCAGGCGCGTTCGCCAAAGCACTCGTGACCCCGCTGCGTGGCGCCCCACGCCCACGCTTAGCCGTTTTGGCAACATCGCTTCGGACCCGCAGGGGCTCTTGAGAGCTGAATCCAAGAGGTTTGGCAACCTTTGCAACGCCTCCCCTCGCCCCCAAAAACATGTCGCGAAGATCCTGGACCCTCTCCCCAATTTTAAGTATTGACCAGAGTCGCACTGTGTCCATATCCTACTCACGCTGTTCAGTTGTGGCTCTGGACGGCTTTCACATGCGTCACTTTCGATATATGTCGGACGAGGCCTTGACTTGCTTCGCCGCGCGGCTTCAGGTGACCGAGATTCGCGCGATGCCTCCTCAGAAACTCAGGGCTTTCATCGTTGTCGTCACCCCTAAAAAGGTCCTTGGATTTCGACCGATCGGTGTTTCCCTTTCCTTTTCGGCCGCGGGGAGAACTCCGTCGCCCGCGGGCTCTGGAATGGGAGACTAAGAATGATCGGCCCTATTGGGCAGCAGGCAGGCATCGCTCTGCCACTGACATAGTTTGGCGACAGAGTGTGCGAGCCGAGCCCAGCACCTCGGCTGGCGAGCACGCGGCGTCCATCTTCTGGGACCCCCTGGAGTTCTACGAGAAGATACCCTCGCACCTGCTCGAGGCGAGGTGTCATCGGCTCAGCTCCCACCCGACTCTCATCGGGGTCTGCCTTGCCGTTTATCGATCGAGTCGGTTCCTCGTTCTGAGCGGGGTCGTCGCTCCAGGGGTCTTCGCGATGCTGGTTTGGTCGCTGGTTGTTCCACGGCCACCACCCTCATCCGTGTCTTCGGGGTCGAAGCGCACGACAGCCTTTCGCTTCAACCCTCGGTTCCGCTCGATGCGCACATCGATGACACCAGCCTGGACGGAGTCGGTAAGATTGAGCCCCTTGTCGCTGACATGATCAGCGCTGCCAGGCAGCTCGAGCAGGCTATCCCACATACGACGCAGGCACACCTTGCCTTTGATAAGGTGGGCATGGCTACCAGCAGTAAGGTCATTTCCAGCAGGTTCCAGGAGGCCCTCGGGGATCTCGCGGGCCCCCACCTCGAGACGGCTGCGAATCTCGGTCGCGACCGCACTGCTGGCGCCTCCCGCCGCGTCCGAGGACACAACGTCAAGACTAAGGCTCGCTCGCTGACTGCCGCGGGCCGCTCGAGGAGAGTCGCGCGGCAGCGAGGCACCATCGGCAGGCGTGCGACTAGGGTTTTCTCGTGTTGGAGCACTTCCAGCTCTTCAGTGCTGCGCGGACGCGCATGGCATGTCTGACGGCGAGTTGCTGCAGGTTGGGCGTCTCGCGGCATCCACCATGAAGCCGTCGCGCGGCCGCCTCTTCTTGTGCATCCTCTCTCGTGCTGAAGGAGATCCAGCGTGGCATGGGTATGTCGTTCCTCTTCTACGCGACCACAACGAGCTATGGCTCCTGCGCGCTCGCTTGACGGAGCAGACCTGGACCGAACTTCGAGAAGGCCGGGAGATCGCCTGGAAGAGACCTCCACGGACCTGGAAATCTGTCAAGGGGCCCTTGGGGCCACGCACCTATCGGCGGCCAGGCTTTGATGGGCCACGGGAGACCCGCGCGCCCTGACTGACGACCGTAGAATCGACATCCATATCTTCTTCGTCGCCCCTGCCCTCCCCAAACGAATTTGTAAATCTGCGACCTTCAGAGCTCTCGAGTGCGAGGCTGGCGAGAAGCACGGCCATGGGCCTAGACTTTGTTTCGGCGTTCCCCCTTCGGTTCTGAATTCGAAGCGTTTCTCGTGCACGCAGAAAGGCGCTATTTGGACGCTCACACGCGGGGGTCTTCGGCCTCTAAGCCGAGCCTTAGGCCCCGGTCGCAAAGTCGAAGGCCGTTGCCCCCTTCGAGGGGCCGAGGGCGACGCCGCCACTCATCGCCCATGGTATCGCCCCTCTTTTGAGTCTGAACGTTCGGACCAGATCAAGCCTGAGTTGTTGAGCCGCGTCCATCGCGAGCTGGAGGCTGGTGCCCTGGGTTTCAGGTTATCTGCGAGACGGGCTCGTTCCCCCACCCGCCCTCTGGGGCCCCCCTCCCTCGCTCTGCCCGGGAGTCGCAGGATTCCGTTGCGTTCGGGTTGCCCCCCGAGGCTCGCAGGGCCTCGGGCCCCCCGCCCCCCTCCGAGGGGCTCGGGGAGATTCGGGGGAACCCCCCCGCCTGGGTGGCTCGCGTTTCAGGCTCGCCAGCCTTGCCGGCCAGCCTTGCCGCGCACAGGTGAAATCATAATTTGACCGCGGCAGGCGGGGCGCCATCTCTGGCCTGGGCGCGTTTCGCCTGCCGCGTCTCGGTCCTGCCCGCGGCTTCGGCCCCGGGCGCGTCGGCCTGGCCCCCTCCGCTGGCTCGGGCTGGGTGACCCCCCCCCCGGGTGGCTCGCGCTTCAGGCACCCAGCCCGCGAACTATCTCGCTCTGGATGGGGAGCTGTCTGGCGTAGCGATCTTAGACAGATCCTCGCACGCATGCACGGCGCGGCTTGCAACGCGTACCCTAAGACGAGCGCGGCCGCTGAATGCGTCGCTCCAGCTGCCACCTCGCGCATCCTTGAAGATATCGCCGAATTTGTCTCTGACTGCAAAGTTATAGTCGACCAGTTCGCTTTGCCGCTCGCTCATGCAGTGGTCTGGCGTTGGAGTGCCTAGCGAACGCTAGTGGCCGGCTCGAGGGCGATTCAAAAGTGAAAGCCCATCGGGAGGAAGATCCCAGCATGGACTGGGCCGACCGGGTCAAAACTCGCAGCAACAGTTGCGCAGATGAGGCGGCGAAGGCTGGAGCTCGCTTTCACGCGCCTCTAGATGAAGATCTCGCGGTGAATATGTCTTCTGGCGTCTGTTCCTCAGGCTGTCGCCAAGCTAGCCGCCCACCTTGGATTTCTGGCCCAGGCCCTACCTGGACGGTGCGTCTTGGGAGCGCCCGTCTCATTTGGGGCCTCCTAGGGACGTGGGCCACGGGCGCACCCGGAACTGGGTCGGCAAATTCTGGCAATACAACGAGCGCCTCAAGAGCACTCGCGATGTTTCCACGCCTCCACCAGGGATGCGCACTCGCAGATTGAAGGTTCCGCCTCAGGCTCTCAGAGACGTAGGCCATCGGTGCATCGTTGCTGATTGCAACGACGGCAGTTTCATTGGCTTCTGCCAGCTGTGCTTCCTGTACATGTCTGGTGGCCAAATGCGAGGATTGGGGGGCCCTTGTCAGGCGCGACCGTCCGCCCTCTCTCAGGTTACTGTAGGGGCCCTGCCGACAAGCGCTGGTCCTCCAATAACGCCCGAAGAACAGAATTGTGGTCCAAATTCAGCAAGGGGCCCCACCCGAAGAGGAAAGGGGTCACAGTTGATTTGGACGGCATCGGAGTCATTTAGTTTCTCTGGTGCTCTCTGCCCGCTCTGACGGGCCCTTGACAGTGGATGTCAGACAATCCCCGGCAGTCCCCGCGCGCCTTGCCCCCCGGCAGGATCCTGGGAGTTTATATCGCGCCGTTCCAGTTGAATTTGTTTCGCGAGGCGCGCCGCGAGACGCCTCGTTGCTGAGATTCGAGGGCGCAGCGTTGGACAGAAAGGAAGTAATATGTAAACGTCAACATGCACGCATTCAAAGTTTATCTGCAGCCAGAAAGATAGGGCAGTCTGCTCAGAACACCGCACCGCCTTGGACCACAACCCACCTGGGCGTCGATAGGGATAACACATACGCACGCAAACACACACTTTTGAAGCCGGCGGCGCAGAGGAGCCTCAGGCGCAGTCGGCAGGTGGAGGTGCAAATCGCGAACGAACTTAGTCGAACGCGCAAGCCAGCGTGGACCCACAGGGGAGCGCGCCAAGGAGTGACGGCGGAGAGCGAGCGGCGGAGCAGCAAAAAGTCGCAGGCCGAAGGGGCCGCGAGAGCTGGCGGAGCCAGGCGGCACGACGGAAACGGCGATGGCCGAGGGGCGGCCCCAAAGGGAGCGGCCGGGCCAGCCCCCCCAGAAGGGGGGGAGGGGGCCAGCAGGGAGCGGGAGGAGGGGAGAGGGAACAGGAGGGGGAAGGAAGGCAGAGAGCAGAACACTACAACAAAAAAGCAGATCTTAAGCCAGCGGCGCAGAGGAGGCACAGGCGCGGTCGGCGGATGGAGGTGCCAATCGCGAACGAACTTAGTCGAACGCGCCGCGATGAAAGAGTCCAGCCACGGCAATGCAAGGATGCGGCACGCCAAAGCCAAAGAGCAGCGGCCAAGCATCCCGCGGGGCGTAGCTCGACGCCAGGAGTTGAAGCGGGCAGCAGTCTGGCGCGAATTTGCCACACACACACACACACTTGTTTTTCGTCGGCGGCGCAAAGGAGCTTCAGGCGCAGTCGGCATGCCAACTGCGAACGAGCTTAGTCAAACCCGCCATGATGAAAGAATCCAGCCCCGGCCATGCATATCGGTGGTTGGAAAAATGAGGCATTGCAAAGCCAAGATGCAAAGCTCAACGCAAAGAGTCGAAGCGCATCTAGCAGTCTGGTGCGAATCATCCAGGGAGACGACGAAATAACTTTAATGCTGCCAGACCAGCCAGCTTGGCGGCGACGCAAAGCGCAGAGTTGTGCGACAAGGCGACGCCACCGGCCTTGCAACAAGCGCGACAAAAGCGACGCGCAAATGCAAAGAGACGGCGTGATGAAACACACGCGGCCGAGACTGACATAACCGTGGCAGCACAATTAATTATACGCGGTCACACACACACATACACACACACACATACACACACACACACAAACAAACTTCTCATGCCAATGGCCTCGAGTGGCTGGCGAACACTGATTTCCTTTTACATGGAGTGCAATGCGCCATGTCTGTCAGCCTCGACTTCTTATGCGGTACTTGGCGCGACGAGCGAGGGACCTCGTACGACGTGACGCTGGACGGGTATAAGGGAACATCGTGCTCAGTGTCGCTGGTCCGGCTGAACGACGAATGCAGGCAAAGGCATCGTGTGGTCGTCAAAAAAAAGAGAGAGAAGAAACGGCACCATGAACAAATGTTCGGAGGTCCGCGCGGATTTCCCAGATCGGCGCCCGACCCCCCGCCCTGGCGCGCGGAGCGCGCAAGGGGCGGCGCTGGAGGCGCCGCCGTGGGGTCTAGCGCCGATCCAAGAAATCCGCGCGAACTTTTGAAAGATTATGTTTATGCCGTTGTTCGTTCCTCTGGGCTCCTGCGTTGCGCAGAGTGGCGATCGAATCGGCAATCTGTTTGGCGCGCCTTCCACTTTCACCCCTCCCTCTCCATATCAAAAACAGCGCTGGTCAAAACGCAGGCATCGTGTGGTCAACGTCGAGACCCGGGCCGGAGAGGCCCGCATCGTGTGGAGCAGAAGCTACGTGCTGGACGGCAGCGTCGCCTTCCAGCCCGCCGCGCAGAAGCTCGTGTGGCATCCCCTCCCGGAGCTCCGGCACAAGAAGAAGCCCTTCATCTGGCACCGCTCCGAGGCCGCCGGGCATCCGGGCAAGCAGGAGAGCCGAGAAAAGGAAGAACGCCAAGACGTCGGCGTCTCGAAGAGATCGAGAGGAGGAGGAGTAGGAGGAGGAGGAGGAGGAGGGGGAGGAGGAGGGAGGAGGAGGAGGGAGGAGGAGGAGGAGGAGGAGAAGGAGGGAGAGAGGAGGAGGAGGAGGATGAGGAGGAGGAGGGGGAGGAGGAGGGGGAGGAGAGGGGGGGCCTTCCCCGGGTTTCGGGACCGTCAGGGAAAGGCTCGGGGCGAAAAGTTGGTCCCCGGGAGGCGGTCGCGAGATCGGGGGCCCGCGTCTCGGAGAGAGAGTCCGGCCGCCGGGCGCTTTTGGGAATGGCAGAGGCGTGTCCCTCCGGAGCTCCGCGCGGAGGCTTCTTGGATCGGTTTTGGGCCCCCCCGCCCCTGGCGCGCGCGGCGTGGCGAGGGCGCTGCGGGAGAAAGAGGGTGAGGAGGAGGAGGAGGAGGGGGAGGGGGGAGAGGAGGAAGGAGGAGGAAGAGGGGAGGAGGAGGAGGAGGAGGAGGGAAGAAGAGGAGGAGAGAGGAGGAGGAGGAGGGGAGGGGGAGGGGAGGGGGAGGAGAGGCAGAGCAGGGCGGGAACGCCACGAGCAGTGCACCCTGAGCCTGCCTTAGCGAAGAGAGGAAGGGCAGGGGCGGAGGGGGGCCAGGCGCCGATCCGAGAAGTCCGCGCGGAGCTCCGAGAGTTGATAGAGGAGGGAGGAGGGAGGAGGGAGGAGGGAGGAGGGAGGAGGGAGGAGGGAGGAGGAGGAGGACGAGGAGGAGGAGGAGGAGGAGGAGGAGGAGGAGGATGCGTGTGCTGGCCCCTCTCTTTGTCCTCCGAGGAGGCGCCGGGGGCGGCGCAGGGCGACGGCGCGGCTTGGGAGGACGAGGGCCCGGAGATCCGACGCTGCCACAAAGTACAGCGTCGCGAAAATTCACGGTCCGAGCCTGCCCTCAAGTCGGGCCTGTCCCCCTGCAGGGGGAGCTGCGACGAAACATCGAACATACCCCCAAAAATGATCCAAACATATTCCGGGGACCATGTTTTGAGTATTGTTTGACCTTTTGGGGCAACGTCGCGAAAATTCAGGGTCCGAGCCTGCCCTCAAGTCGGGCCTGTCCCCCTGCAGGGGGATCTGCGACGAAGCATCGAACATACCCCCAAAAATGATCCAAACATATTCCGGGGACCATGTTTTGAGTATTGTTTGGACCTTTTGGGGGTATTTTGGGGGGTACTTTTTATTGGTCGTCGAAAATCCTCCTGTAGGGGCACACGCCCTTTTCGCCCGGTTTCGGGCCCCGGCACCTTCGCAGGTCCATCGGGCTCGAATAAGGACGCAGAAAGATTCAGGAGGGGAAAAAAAGCACAGAGACACGATGAATCGTCGATTCCCCAGAAGATATGGGAGGGTATGGGAAGTGCGGGGGAAGACAAAAATCCAGGAAACATGAGAAAATATGGTGAATGTTGGTATTTGTGTGTATTCATTTGCGTGTCCTTGGGCCCCTTCAAAGATGGGGTCCAGGATTTGAGTTGTGATTGCGTGCGATGTTGCAATTTTCTGCAAGGTCGGATCTGGAGGTAAGCCCAATCTGTCTGCTGCCTTCTGCGGGCCCGATCAATCTGTGATGGTCCCGGGGCCCGAACTTGTCAGGAGGGGGAAAATCACACAGACACAAGGAATCGTCAATGTCCAGGAAAAGATGGGGAAAAATACGGACAGCGGGGGGGAAGATGAAAGCCCAGAAGATACAGAAAAGCATGGGGAATCCTGGGATTTGTGTAAATTTGTATGTGTGTGCCCCTTCAAATGGGTCAAGCGCTCTTCGGGGTCTGAAGGCGCGTTGGGTCCAACAGGAGGTCAAGCCAACGGCGGGACGCATCCGCTGCGGATCGAGGCACAGGCGCTCGCGAGAGGCGAGGGGCGAGGATAGCGAGGAAGGCTGCGGAACGGCCAGAGATCAGGAGGGAAAGAAACACACAGACACAATTAATCGTCGACTCCCAGAAAAATATGCAAAAATATGGGAAGTGGTGGGGAAGACAAAAACCCAGGAAATATGGGAAAACATGGGGGATATTTTTATTTGTGTGTATTTATTTGTGTGTTCCAGTTCCCCTTCAAATTGGGCGAACACGCTCGGCGTGAACAAAAAGGCAACGCCCGGATCTCAGTCAGGGAAGGTCGGCCAGTGAGAGAGCGCCAACCCAGAAAAAGGCGACTGAGGAAACTTGCACGGGCTCCCTCGACACAGGCGCTCGAGTGTACCAGTGCAGTCCCCAGCGTGGCATCGCTCGGACGTGTGCATTTTTTCTTCCGGCGAGGACCCTCGAGGAGCATCCTTCATCACTTGGCGAAGACACCGCGCACGAAACCGACAGAAAGCGCAGGGAATGGACGTCCGAGCGATGGCCAGCCGGTCGGCTTGGCGAACATCGTGCCTCTCGCTGGACGCGCTCGGCCGCTTCGGGACGGCTCGCTCCACTGCCCCCGCTGGATGTGCGCTCGGAGTGCGGCGCCGTGCGCATGTGGAGTGCCCCATGGGAGCGTGTTCCTAAAGGGTGTCTTCCGAGTTTTAGAAATATTATATATATATATATATATACATATACATATACATACATACATACATACATACAGACAGACAGACAGACAGACAGACAGACAGACAGACAGACATGCATGCATGCATACATACATACAGACAGACAGACAGACAGACAGACAGACATACATACATACATACATATAAATCAAAGAATCGTCCGGGAAGCAGTTTCTCCTCCTCCTCCCAGGTCCTGTTCTGGCAGTCCCGAGGCCCGAAAACGGCCCCGGCGGCAACAGAAAACAGAAAAATGGGAAGGCGATGCAGACAAACAGATCGACGATGAAGGTGACTGGAAGGTGTTTTGCTAAAGGGGGTCCTGTCCACCCCAGGGAAGCCCAGAGATCCGATGTCGTGTTTTCTCAAACATGTCCTCGGAAGTCTCGACCCAGGCCCGGCGAGGGCCGCCAGAGGCCGAAAACGGCGAAACACCACCGCTGTGATTTTGTCCAATGCGCTGGATCTTGGGGAGGACGGCGCCTACGCCGAGTGGTGGCGCCCTTCCGACGCGCACGGGACCGCGCAGGCCTGGGCGTCGCGCAATGGGGGGGCGAGCAGGAGGGGGGGGGGCAGCGGGGGCTCCAGAAAAGGAGCCCCTTAAGGGGGCCCCTGGGGACCGAAAAATGCACCTTTGGGTCCCTCCAGGGCCCCCGAGGATGCCTTTAAGCTTTAGGACCCCTTCGGGGCCCCCAGGGGGTCCCTCGAGCCCCCGGCTGCCTCCCCCTGCTGCCCTCCTCGCGGCCCCTCTGCCCCCTGCTGCCCCCCCTCTCCCCTTCTCACCTGCTTTCTCCCCGTTCCCTCCTGCAGTCGCTCTTTCTGTTCCCTCTAGTTTCTCTGCCCCCCAGCTTTTTTTATGGCCCCAGAGGGGCGCCTTAGGTCCCCAAAGGAGCCTTTAGGGCCCCAAAGCGGTCCTCCCAGACCCCCGACGTCATGATTGCTTCCTTGCGTCGACCCCCAGAGGTCTCGACCCCTTCCCCTTTTTAACGGATGGCTCGGGGTCGTCTTTATGACGGAGCCGAGGAGTCCCCAGCACCCCGAGCAGACGGACGTGGTCGACACGACCACCTCGTTTGTATCGTTCCAATTTTAACAGATGATCCCCGAAGGGAATCCGAAACGCACGCGCTGGGGGGAGTCAGGCATCTTCGCTGACGCGCACGAATTCGTGTTCTGCTCAGGACACTCCCTGAGTCGTTCTTTGACGGCCCCGAGGCCCAGCGAGGGCCGCCAGAGGCCGAAAGCAGCCCAAAACCTCCCGTCGTGATTTTTTCTAGCGACGCGATCGCGTCTGGGCTTGAGGGGCCCCGAATATCGAAGAGGAGGAGGAGGAGGAGGAGGAGGAGGAGGAGGGAGAGGAGGAGGGGGAGGAGGAGGAGAGGATGAGAATGAGAAGGGGCAGAGGAGGAGGAGGATGAGAAGGGCAGAGGAGGAGGAGGAGGAGGAGGAGGAGGAGCGAGGAGGAGGAGGTGGGCGACGCCCAACAGGCCTCGGGCTGGCCGGCCTGGCCGGGCGCGCCGGCGGCGCAGCGCGGCCCGCAGGCCGCGGGGGGCCACGAGCGGCACGGCCGGGCCAGCTGGCAGCAGGGCGCCCAGGGCCCGCAAGCGGCGCAGGACGACGGCGGCGGCGGCGGCGGCGGCGGCGGCGGCGGCGGCGGCGGCGGCGGCGGCGGCGGCGACGACGACGACGACACGACGACACGACGACACACGACGACGACGACGACGACGACCGACGACGACGACGCGACGACGACGACGACGACGACGACGACGACCGACGACGGCGGCGCGGCGGCGGCGTCGGCGGCGGCGGCGGCGGCGGCGGCGGCGGCGGCGCGACGACGTGGTTCCCGCAGTATGCTGAGGAGGAAAAGGCACGTATTTCCTGCTGCCCGTGCCCCGTCTCCTCCTCCACCTCCCTCCTCCACCTGCTCATCGTCCTCTCCTCCTCCCTCCTCCTCCTCCCTGCTCCTCGTCTTCCTCCTCCTCCTCCTCCTCCTCCTCCTCCTCCTCCTCCTCCTCCTCCTCCTCCTCCTCCTCCTCCTCCTCCTCCTCCTCCTCCTCCTCACATCATCATCATCATCATCATCATCATCATCATCATCATCATCATCATCATCATCATCATCATCATCAGGGTTCCCAGAGTCGGCCACACTCAGAGGACGAAAGGCACCGCCCTCCTGGGAGCCCCTCGTCGCCACCGCTGGATTCGCCTCGAAATCATGGTCAGAAGGCACCCCGGGCAAAAGGCACCCAGGGAGAGGTCCAGGAAGTAGCGGTATCGGTGCTTCTTGGTTTCCCCAAGAGTGCCGAAGCGGAGATTGGACGTGAGCTTGTGCGACACGTGGCAGGGTGTTTTGCCGCACCATGCAGGTTGGCACAGTAGTTGAGACTCCGTGTGGAGCGTCAACGAGCGCTGCGGGGAGTCACAGCGTGCGGTGTCGGGGTGCACGCCTCTACCTTGAATTCATTTACTGGCGGTCGGGTAACTGGCGCTTCCCACGACCTTTCAATGCCGACACGGAGATTGGCACAATTGGACCAGGCTAGACTGGCTCGACCGAGCTGGGCCAAACGAAAATGCGCTGGACTGAGATTGCGCTGGGCCAGGCTGGGCTGAACTAGATTGAGCTGGGCAGGGCTGGACAAAACGACATTGACTTGGGCGGATCTGAACTGAGCAGGGCTGAGCGAGGCTGAGCTGGGTTGAGTTAGGGTGGGCTGGATGGGGCCAGACTAAGCTGCGCCCGGGCGGAGCGAATTGTCATACCATGTCTCGTTACATCCCGTCGTTGGCCATACATCGCACATCTTCTTCACAGCGGCAGCACCCTAACGCAGAACCAGGTGCCCGCATGCCTGCTCCTGAGGTACGAGTGTCTCCCCCCACCTCCTCTCGCCGTGAGCGGATCACGGCGGGAGATGCTGAAAGCTTTCGGCATCTGGGGGCCGTGCTGGGCCCCGGAACGGTGAGCAAACGGCTCGGGGCCACAGAAGCCGGCCCCCGGGGAGAGAGGATCCGGGCCTCCAGGGGCCCGCGATGCGACACGGGCGCGGCGCCGCAGTTCCGGGCCCCCCCGCCCGCGCGCCAGGCGCTGGAGAGCCCACGCCGTTGTCGCAGGCAGTGCCCCCGCCCAGCCGCCAGAAAAAAACGATCGGGGCCGTGCCCTGGCGGGCAAGGCGAGGGCCCGCCTGCCCCCGGCATCACTCAGGAGGGGAAGAAACACACAGACACAATTAATCGTCGACTCCCTAGAAAATATGGGAAAATATTGGAAGTGGGGGGGAAGACAAAAACCTAGAAAATATGCGAAAATATGGGGAATATGTTTATTTGTGTGTATTTATTTGTGTGTCCTGGGGCCCCTTCACTCACTCTGGGCCTCCGGGAGGGGGTCCGAGCAGGCGGCGCGGATGCTCCGGCCCCGTCTGTTGGGGCCACACGTGGGAGGCCTCTAGTGCTGATGCGCCCGCCGTTGCACCAGCACTCGGCGCGGCGTGGTCACCTGCATCCGGGGCGGCACGCGGCAGGGCGTCGCACGCGCACGTGTCGGCCATTCGCTTCTCGGTGCCCCTGTTTGGCCCTACCGCTGGTGCAGCCATTCTGCCTCGCCGCCGACGAAAAAAAGTGCACAGGTCGCTCACTCCCGAGAGGGTCGCCGTAGGCGGGCAGTGGCAGGTCCCAAGGAACCACACAGATGTGCCCTCGCAGGAAATAGCGCACGCGTCCACACGGCACCAGCCACGGGGGGAAGTGGCATTCGAGCGTCCACACGAACTTTTCACAAGTGCACGCCGTGGTACGAGCGGCAAGCGTGCATGTTGTAAGCTGAACGGTCGTTTGTGTATCCAGCGTGTTTTGTGTCGGACGCCCCGACCTGAATCGCACACAGTGCTCCGTCGCAGCACATTCCGAGCAGTCGCTGTCGTAAGCAGCTGGCGAGCGCCGCCCCGGCAGAGAGGCAAAATGCTCGGCGCGCTTGTGTAGGGCCCGTTTAACTATGGTCAGCACGTGGTTTTGATTGCATAGATTCGCAAAGCTTGGCCTCGAGCTAATCTCGTCAGTGTTCTTGCAAGTGCGCTGTCGTTGTCGTTCTATGCTCAGGTTTTGTCATCAGTGGCGTATCAGCGATCGTGGTTGCATTCGAATGTTTGCGCGTTTCCGCGGCAGGCAAGCAGTTGGTGGCGCGATCGGGATGGCCTTTTAAGAGGGCAGGGTGCTCCTTAGAAGGGCTCGGAGGCTTCTGAAAAGGCCGATGAGAGGGCGGGAAGGGGTGCCCTGACATCACATCTGCCGATGTGACTTGTCCCACGCGCCGCGCGGCCCCAAAGGTCCCGACCCTGTCCCTGGGGCAAGTTTTTCGCCCCGGGTCCATATTTGATGGTCTCGGGGCCCGATACTGGGCCCTGAAGACCGAAACCGAAGAGAAAAAAATGGGATTGAAAGGCTAGTCAGCGTGGACCCCACAGAGTGTGTGCCTCTAGCTGTCCGTGTGGTCTCTGTGTGATGCCATCTGCGTGGCGCCATCGAAGGACAACTCCGAGACCGGAAAAATCATATCGTCGGAGATCTGCGTTCCCAGACCCCCGACGTCATGATTTTTTCCCCAGCGTCGACACCCATAGGTCTGGACCCCTTCTCCGGGACCAGTTTTTCGTCCCGAGTCGTTTGTTGACGGCCCCGAGGCCCAGGATGGGCCCCTGGAGGCCGAGCATAGCGAAAAACCTCCCGTCGTGTTTTTTTTTCCGCAGCGCGCTCCTCCTCCTCCTCTTCCTCCTCCTCCTCCTCCTCGCTCCTCCTCCTCGCTCCTCCTCGCTCCTCCTCCTCCTCCTCCTCCTCCTCCTCCTCCTCCTCCTCTCCTCCTCCCCCTCCTCCTCCTCCCCTCCTCCTCCTCCTCCTCCTCCTCCTCCTCCTCCTCCTCCTCCTCCTCCTCCTCCTCCTCCCTCCTCCTCCTCGTCCTTCTCCTCCTCCTCCTCGCTCCTTCTCCTCCTCCTCCTCCTCCTCCTCCTCCTCCTCCTCCTCCTCCTCCTCCTCCTCCTTCCTCCTCCTCCTCCGAGCCCAGCATGGCCCCCCCTGGCCTTTCAGAGGAGGCCACCCGCCCCTCTTGCGCACCGCCCACGTCGCCCGCGAGCCCGCCTCGGCGCGCTCCTCTTGCCAGGACGAGTGGCCGAGTTGGTGGGATACCGCCGACGCCCAGCTCCCGCAGAGCGACGCGCCTGCCGGCGCCGAGGACCTCTGGGCGAAGGGGCCTCCAAGACGCCCAAATCTAGGCCTCCTAGGTGGGGTCCGAGTAGAGGGGGTCGGAGGATCGTGCCACATCGCCGATGTATCGGCGATACATCGGCGATGCGGCTCGATGTTGGGCCCAATTTTCTCCACGCCGACGTCGCTGATGCATCGCCGACGCCGCCAGTGCATCGCCAATGCATCGGCGATGCGGCGAGATCCCCCGACCCCATCTACTCGGACCCCATCTCGGAGTCCTCTACCAAAGAGGCCTCCAAGAGGCCTTCTAAGAGGGCCCCAAGAGGCCACCAAAATCATTGATTTTCTTACATTGTTTGGAGGATTTGGGCGTTCTCGCGTTTTCGGCTTCCCGACGCTCCCAGACGGCCCTAAAGGCCTCCAAGACCGCCCCAAGACGGCCAAAGAGGCCTCCGAGGGTATCAGTCAGCCACGCGCAGAGTGGGGCAGGGGGAGGGGGGAAGGCTTCTCATAAGCACCCTGATCTGTAGATGGGGCCAGCGCCTTCGTTGAAGCAGCTTCCTTCTCAGAAGCCTCCCCCCCACTGCGAAAAGCCTCCGTCTCGATTTCTTTGAGACGCCAGATGCCTGGATTTCAAGCGCTCGTCCCCGACGGGCAATGTCGACGTCGTGGGAGGCTCGGGCAGGCTCGGTCCCTCCGCACCCAGGGGAGGGCACTGGGAGCTGACCAGCGACGGGCCCCTCCCCCGTGCCCGCCCCTCCCCCCTCCCGCCCCTCCTCCTCCTCCTCCGCCTCCTCCTCCTCCTCTTCCTCCTCCTCCCCCTCCTCCTCCGCCTCCTCCTCCTCCTCCTCCTCGCGCCTCCTCCCCTCCTCCTCTCCTCCTCTCTCTCCTCCTCTCCCCCCCTCGTTCCATCGCCTCTCGCTCCTCGCTACCACACTCGCTCCTCTCGTCCTCACTCTCCCTCGCTCCTCCTCCTCTCTCCTCCTCCTCCTCCTCCTCCTCCTCCTCTCCCTCATCCTGCCTCCTCGCTACTCCTACGCGCTGCTCGCTGCTCGCTCCTCGTTCCTCCTCCTCCTCCTCCTCCTCCTCCTCCTCCTCCCTCCTCCTCCTCGTGCCTCCTTCTCCTCTCCTCCCCTCCTCCTCCTCCTCCTTCCTCCTCCTCCTCCTCCTCCTCCTCCTCCTCCTCGCTCCTCATTCTCCCTCCTCCTCCTCCTCTCCTCCTCCTCCTCCTCCTCCTTGCTCCTCCTCCTCCTCCCTCCTCCTTCGCCTCCTCCTCCTCTCCTCCTCATCCTCCTCCTCCTCCTCCTCAATCCTCCTCCTCCTCCCCCTCCTCCCTCCTCCTCCTCCTCCTCCTCGCTCCTCGCTCCTTGCCCCTCGCTCCTCGCTCCTCGCTAGGGGGTACGCTCCTCGCTCTCCGCTTTCCTCGCTCCTCTCTCCTCCTCCACTCCTCCTCCTCCCTCATCCTCCTCCTCTTCCTCCTCCTCCTCCTCGCTCCTCGCCCTCGCTCCTCGCTCCTCGCTCCTCGCTCCTCGCTCCTCGCTCCTCTCTGTTTCCCCCCTCCCTTCCCCCCCCTCCTCCTCCTCCTCCTCCTCCTCCTCCTCCTGCCTCCTCCTCCTCCTCCTCCTCCTCCTCCTCCTCCTCCTCCTCCTCCTCCTCCTCCTCCTCCTCCTCCTCCATCTCCGCCTCCTCCCCCGTCGGGCCGCCCATGCGTCCGCCGCAACTGGGGCCGTCCTGCCGAAGGACTGACCGAGCCGGCGCTCCCTGCCTTTGCCACGAGGCGCCGCCGACGGCTTCCGGCCAGCGCGGCGGGGATGGCGCACAGCTGAACAGTGCGGTCGGGAATGTTTGCATAGCGCATAGCGTGAGCCACCTTGACGAGATTGTCGAGGAGGCCCGCCAGGCTGGGGAGGCAGGGTAGAGCGGCTTGGAGCTGGACTCTTCCCTCACGCTCCGCCTCCTTGTTTTCCTTCTTCCCTCACGCTCCGCCTCAAGAACACGCTATCCACGCCCCCGTTTCCCAAACGCCACCGTCCCGAGCGTCTCGAAACCTCCCGCCTTGCGAGGCGGAGCGGCGCGCCATCCGCCCACAAGGCACAGAGTGTTGCCGGGGCCGCCGCCGCGGCACTTCCCGACCGTGGGTCTGTGTGCCATGACCCTCCACCTTCCACGCCTTCCGACCAGCAGGTGGCTGATTCAAAGTAATGGGGGGCCGACGTCTTGGTCTTTTAAATCCCCAGGAGCCCCGACCCTTTGCCCATGGCCGTTTTTCCATCCCGAGTCGTTTTTTACGATTTGGAGCCTGGTGAGGGCCCCCGAGGCCGAAAACTTGCAAAAAACGTCCGCGGCCATTTTGTCTAGACCAGGGAAGGTGCGGGGATCTCAGGGGGTTTTCCATGCTGTTTTCCCTCACGCGCATTCCTTGACATGCACCGATATAATTTTTTCGGCGCGCGGCCCTAGAGGTCCCGACCCGCTTCGCGTTTCACCCCAGATCCATATTCGAGGGTCCTAGGGCCCGATAACAGGCCCCACAAACCGAAATCGAGGAAAACGCCAGGACTCAAGAAAACAGATCGGCTGACATTTGGCTTTCGCGTCATAATTTAAGTCTCCAGCGGCCGGTTCGGGGCACCCCAAGAACGCCGTCGGCGAGGCGCAGCCGCTGGAAGGCACACCGGGGCTGGAAAGCCACCAGGAACCGACGAAAACGGCCGAAAGTTTCGAAAATGTCAGATCGTCGGCGATCTGGGCGCTCGCCCGCGAGGACACGGACGGCCCCGCGGCGGACTGGCCGCACTGGCGGCCCCGTGGACACCACCAGGGCACGGACGGCCACGCCAGTGGTTGGCGGCACTGGTGGCCCGGCGCGCAGGGTGAGCTGGGCGATGCCAGAGGTGTTCCTCCTCCTCCTCCTCCTCCTCCTCCTCCTCCTCCTCCTCCTCCTCCTCCTCCTCCTCCTCCTCCTCAACCGCTGCAGGATCCTGCGAAGAGGGAGCTTGGAGGGAGGGTTTATTTCAACATATCGTTGATGACTCTTGGGTTTACATTGGTCCTCCTCTTCCTCCTCCTCTTCCTCCTCCTCTCGCTCTTCGCTCCTCGATCCTCGCTTTTCGCTCTTCTCATCATATTATTCCTCCTCCTCTTCCTCCTCCTCCTCCTCCTCCTCCTCCTCCTCCTCCTCCTCCTCTCCCCCCTCCTCCTCCCTCTCCCTCCTCTCCTCCTCCTTCTCCTCCTCCCCTCCTCCTCCTCCTCCTCCTCCTCCTCCTCCTCCTCCTCCTCCTCCTCCTCCTCCTCCTCCTCCTCCTCCTCCTCGTCTTCCTTCTCCTCCTCCGCCTCCTCCTGCTCCTCCTCCTCCCCCACCGTAGGCATTTTGGCTCATGTTCGCTCGAAACCCTTTGGCGCGGCGAGAGGTGCGAGCATGGTGGCTGCGGGAGGCGCCCTTGTGGGGGAGGCCTGGGAGTCGGCGGCGGCGCGCAAGGCTCGGCGCGGCTGCGCTCGGGAGGCTGCTGACCGTACCGTTCACAAGGCAGTGGGCGCAGCCAAGCAGCTGGAGGAGCGGCTCGCTCTCGCAGAGTCCGCCCTGTCAAGCCTGGTCTGGTGGGCGACGCTGCGCTCGCGGATCGAATTGCACCTGTGATCCCAGCGCTGCAGCATCTGGCTGCAGGTCAACTTCCGCTTTGGCTGGATCGGCTCAAACGCAAGGTGGCGCTTCATGCCCGTGCTCACGCGCTGGAGGGTTGGATCCATTCGGCGTCGTCGTCGGAGCCCCGCGCGGCCGCCAAGGAGCAGCGGTTGGGCGCGGAGAGAGGCGTGGATCTCTCAAACTTCTCGGTCGAAACTTGCTTCGCGGAGCACGTGGCGTTCAGGGCCGGAGGGAACGGCTGCCGGCCCCGCATGTGTCGACGGCTTGGCGGCGGGAGGCCCCGCCTGTTCGCCCTGGCGCTGGGGCGCACTTCCCTTGGCGAGAAGGAGTGTGGGACCTCCACGTGCTGCTGGAGGCCCCATACCATGACGGAGACCCTCCAGATCCCCTCGGTGCGCATCCTGTCACACTCGGGGAGCAGCCGTCCGACTCGCTGGAGCAGGAGCTGTGGGACCTCGACGCGGATCGGGATCAGAGGACCACCGAGAACGCGTTCGAGACCGTGGGCGACTTCGCTGGCGAGTCGGACTCGGGAGCTGCATGCCCATCTGCTGTTGTACGGTCGGGAAGGGCCCGTGAGATGCCAGGACCCAGGCGGTCGGAGGAGTGGTCCGCGCGGGTTGTGGAGCCCAGGTGGCGGGAGGAGCGGCCACAACCCCGTGCCCTGCTGCTTCAGCAGATGGCATGAAGCGCGCTCATTCCCCCACACTGGGAAGGGCCCAGGCAGCGAGCCCAGGCCAGGACCCAGGTGGTGGGAGGAGGGGTCCCCGCGGGTTGTTGGGCCCAGGCGGTGGGTGGAGGGGCCACAACTTCACGCCCTGTCGCTGCAGCAGGTGTCGCGAAACGCGCGCAGATTCCGACGTCGGGAAGGGCCCAGGTGGAGGGGGGAGAGGCCGAGGCCCAGGTGGCGGGAGGAGAGGCCGCGCGCCCTGCCCAGGTGGAGGGCGGAGAGGCAGGCGTGCATACCCCGACAAGTTTCTATACAGACAGAGCGGTGACCTGGCCCCGTCTTTTCTTGGAGTACCGACTGCAGCCTGTCAGTGGCGGTGGTCGGGGCCTCCTGCATTGGAGCTGCCCCAGAGGCGCCGATGATGCTGGGACCGCCTCGCAGGCGAGCTTGGCCCGCGCCGCTCGCCTCTCCATGCGCGGCAGGTGCTGGACGGCCATGGTGTTCGACATCCGCGAGCGGGTGAAGGGGCTGCGCCCTCGCCCACCCCCGCCCTACCGCCCGCGGTCTCGCAGCCGCCACGAGCCGCTCTGCACGGGCAAGTCGTGCATGGAGAAGGGTACATACCGCGAAGTCCGTTGCCGTTCATGTGTCAGCAGATCACGGACGTCCACGGGCGTCTGGCATCCGTGGGGGTCGCCGTCTCTTCAAGATGGGGGCCCCGCGTGCAGACGCGACGGAGCAGGACCAGAAGGGCCGCCGCGGCTCACGGGCGTCGACGTGACCTGGCGGAGCCGCCTCTCGTCCCCCCCCCTCCCCCTCTTTCGCATCCCCACAGGTTCGCCTCGGGCTTCGGTGCGAGCGCGAAGACGGGCGGCCCGCGGAGAAATACATGCTCCTCCTCCTCCTCCTCCTCCTCCTCTTCCTCCTCCTCCTCCTCCTCCTCCTCCTCCTCCTCTTCCACCTCCCTATTCCTCCGTATTCCTCCTCCTCCTCCTCATCATCATCATCATCATCATCCTCATCCTCATCCTCATCCTCATCCTCATCCTCATCCTCATCCTCATCCTCCTCCTCTTCTTCCTCCTCCTCCCCCTCCTCCTCCTACTTTTCCCATCCTCCCATCCTCCCCGATATCCTGCATTACTTCGCCTGATAATCATTGCCCCCCGGGACGCGTCGGCAGGGAGGGCCTGGCGGTTCGCTTGAGATTTGCGTACCAAGTACAATCTTGGATGCTTGAACATGTGCCATAGCTTCGCAGATGGAGGGCGGGTCGCTTGCAAGATGTAGCTATTCGTCTAGCGCCGCGCACATTCGTTCTAAAGGTTCGCAAGAGCTTCACGAATGAAGGGCGGGCAGTTGTGTATTGCGGTCTCGCTTGAACACGGCGCACAGTCGTTTTGAAAGTGCTACAGCTCCCAAGATGGAGGGCGGCAGGAAAATGCGGTTCTCGCCTTAGCGCAGCGCGCACTCATCTTAAAAAGTGTGCAACGGTTTCAAGGGTTCGCATTGCTGAAGTCCCAGGAATGGTGCCTTGGCACGTTTTGGGATTGTCCCGACGGAACAGTCACGTTGTTTCACGACGCTGACGTCCCAGGAATAGTGTCACGGTGTAGTTCGGGACCGTTGGGACGCAATTGTCACGTTGGTTCGCGGCGTTGACGTCCCAGGGCTTGTGTCTGGCACGATTGAGGATTATCAGACGTTTGTTCTCTTATCGAACACACCCCGCAAAGAAAACACTTCCTTGTAGGAACCTATGAAAAGGAAACTTGGAGTGAGGGTCTACTCTGGTGAATATTTAGAAACCCTTCCCAGCAAGTAAACAATACGTTGATTCATCCGTTTTGTTGACGGACTGGTACCCAACCCATAGGGGGGAGGGCACTGAATATTCTTACCCGCGGCACCCACCAGCAGCGTGTCTATGGAAATTGTATCCCGAAAGCTCCATTCTGAGAAGGACTACTTGAGCAGGCCGAAAGATTTTCCACTTGAGGCCCACATGACAAATGCGAAGCGTCGTTGACTTTAGCGGATGCGGACGCAGCGATCATATCGCGCTCGCGTCGAGGTGGGGTGCGGCATATGTTATGGAAGGCTGCGGGAGTTGGCCAGGCCCGCTGTTGCGCTCGAGCACGCACATGTTATGGAGGCTGCGGGAGTTGGCCGGGGCAGCTGTGGCGCTCGAGCAACGACATGTTATGGGAGGGTTTCGGGGAGGTGGCCAGGCCCGCTGTGGCGCTCGAGCTCCCGACTTGGGCACTGCGGTCGTTTTCTCTCCTCTTCCCTCCTCCCTCATCCGCCTCTTCCGTCCTCCCTCCTCGTCCGCCTCCCTCCTCGGTAGGGGCACCCCTCCCCCGTAGAATCATAGTTCTGGCTGCAGGTCCAAGGCTCCGTGGATCCAGTTCCCCTTGGGTCCCTTGTATTAAGTAGTTTTACACATTCACTCCAGCGAAAGAATTTGATCCACGAAGCTTCCACGCCAAGAAATTGGATCCAGAAGACACGGAAATTGGATCCACGTGACTCTCGCACACACATAATTGGATCCAAATGGATCCATGCGTTCCCATGCAAGAGGAAAGAACTTTCGGCCTGGGGATGAAGAGTTTTGCACCCCTTTCTGCCCTTCAGCACGCTGCACGTGTTGACGGGGAGACGGGGGTCAACACCCCACTGAAGAGTTTTGCACCCCTTCTGACCTTCAGCACGCTGCAAGTGCTGGCGGGGGAGACGGGGGTCTGAACCCCACTGAAGAGTTTTGCACCCCTTCTGCCCTTCAGCACGCTGCGCGTGTTGGCGGGGGAAACGGGGGTCAAAACTCCACTTGAGCAGGCCGAAAGATTTTCCTCTTGAGGCTCACATGACAAATTCGAAGTGTCGTTGGCTTGAGCGGATGCGGACGCAGCGATCATATCGCGTTCGCGTCGAGGTGGGGTGCGGCATATGTTATGGGAGGCTGCGGGAGTTGGCCAGGCCCGTTGTGGCGCTCGAGCACCCACATGTTATGGAGGCTGCGGGAGTTGGCCGGGGCAGCTGTGGCGCTCGAGGAACGACATATTATGGGAGGGGTTCGGAGAGGTGGCCAGGCCCGCTGTGGCGCTCGAGCTCCCGACTTGGGCACTGCGGTCGTTTTCTCTCCTCTTCCCTCCTCCCTCATCCGCCTCTTCCGTCCTCCCTCCTCGTCCGCCTCCCTCCTCGGTAGGGACACCCCTTCCCCCGTAGAATTATAGCTTGGGCTGCAGGTCCAAGGCTCGGTGGATCCAGTTCCCCTTGGGCCCCTTGTATTCACTACTGCTATAAATGATTTCCAGCAAAAGACGTGGATCCACGAAGCTTCCACGACAAGAAATTGGATCCAGAAGACACGGAAATTGGATCCACGTGACTCTCGCACACACGTAATTGGATCCAAATGGACCCATGCGTTCCCATGCAAGAGGAAAGAACTTTCGGCCTGGGGATGAAGAGTTTTGCACCCCGTCTGCCCTTCAGCACGCTGCACGTGCTGGCGGGGGAGACGGGGGTCAACACCCCACTGAAGAGTTTTGCACCCCTTCTGACCTTCAGCACGCTGC